TTACATACATCTCTAATTGCTGACCCTGAAATAATGGACTGTTTTGGAACAAAATCAGAGGTTGCTAACCTTTCCAACATCAACTATTCCTTCATTATAGCCTCCAGGAACAATGTTTTCACAATATTTTGTGTATCAAATCTGATTTACAAAATAAAAGTTTAGCCCGTTTCCCCATGGAAGGAGATGAGCTAAGCCTGCAGATCAGAGCTCCTTTTTTTCTTATTGTTTTTAGGTGGAGTCTTGCTCTGTCGCCAGGCTGGAGTGCAGTGGCATGATCTTGGCTCACTGCAACCTCAGCCTGCCAGGTTCTCTTGATCTCGTGATCTGCCCACCTCGGCCTCCCAAAGTGCTGGGATTACAGGCATGAGCCACTGCACCTGGACAATCAGAGCTCTTAATCAGCAGGAGATAACATTTCCACCCCAGTCTGCCAGTCAAAGGCTCAAAGTTTGAGTGACTTTGTGTAACTGTATGAGCATTGCATGGATGATTTCCTTCAGCTCTGTGAAATATCCAGCGTGGCCAGCAGGCCCTTCCCTTGCTGCCTCGGGCCGAGGATGGACGCCTGTGCAGGCCCTCACTCGTGGGGAGGGTTCCCTCTGTCACCTCCCAGCTGCATTCCCACTGGGGCAAACCCAGCACATGTGTGTGGATTTAAAAATAGGGAACTTTGAGGAAAATACTTAATATTGGGATCCGCACTTTTACAAGAGGGTTCATTATCATATTCTAGAAAATATTGATATTTACAAATGCAAAGGAGCTCATCTCTCCTAGCCTGAGTGGTGAGGCAAGTTCTGTCACTTCCACAAGCCTACTTCCTCATCTGTGAGATGGCATGACACCCATCTGATAGGCTCTTATGAAGATTTTTTTAAACATACATTCGTTTGTGGCCGGGTGTGGTGGCTCATGCAGTAATTCCAACACTTTGGGAGGCCAAGGCGGGCAGATCACGTGAGGTCACGAGTTCAAGACCAGTCTGACCAACATGAAGAAACCCTGTCTCTACTAAAAATACACAATTAGTCAGGCATGGTGGTGTATGCCTGTAATCCCAGCTACTCAGGAGGCTGAGGCAGGAGAACTGCTTTAACCCAGGAGGTAGAGGGGGTAGTGAGCCAAGACTGCACCATTGCACTCCAGCCGGGGCAATAAGAGCAAAACTGTCTAAAAAAAACACAAACAAACCAAAAAAGATACATTTGTTTAGTTTAATTTTGATTGTAAAAAATATTTTTTCTGTTTTGTTTTACTTTTATCTCTAACAGCTTTAAGATATTAATGACATATGAGAAACTGTATCTATTTAAGGTATACACCTTGATATTTTGCTATATGTATACATTGTGAAATGATCACCCAATCCAGCTAATTAACATATGTCACCCCGACATAGCCACCTTTAAAGAAAGATCATTCCTGCAGCAAATTGAGAGTTGTGCAACACATACAAAGCATGAAAACACATAAGAAACCATTCACTGACAAGGAGCACTGATGGGGCCACCACACTGATTCTACTCAGCACCTTCGGGCATGGGGAGCTCATGGAGAGATGTGCAGCCTCCAGACCATGAGGCAGGTGCCATTCCCGGTCAGAGGCCAGCAGCACGAGACAGGTGCCGTTCCCACTCAGAAGTCAGCAGCACGAGGCAGGTGCCGTTCCCACTCAGAGGCCAGCGGCAGGAGGCAGGTGCTGTTCCCAGTCAGAGGCCAGCAGCACAACCTCTATCCGGCCATCCTTGGCTGTCATCACCTCACACTTGACCCCTGACACAGCTGCAATGCTGTCTTTGGCCAGAGGGTAAAAATCATCTTTATTGTAAACTTCCACGATGGAGACTCCAACCTTTGGGATTATTGAGGGATTTTCCAAAATAAGCCTGGAGGGAAACACGCAGAGAAACTTACAGAAAGTCTCATGGAGTGATTTTCAGTGTGAGCCAATCATTGCCCCACACACCCTAGAGGATGCTCAGTAAAATGCTGGGGTCCTAGCAGGAGGCTGCATGTCACTCACCCCAAGATCACCTGGGGAGAGTTCTTTATTCCAATTCCACTTGTGCCTTCCACCTGAGACCCTCCTGCAAGACCCGTAAAACCAACTCAGTCTCTTTAAAAAGCAGCTGCACGTCTTACTTTGCTCCATGTTTTAAAGAACTACAGGCTGACTACAGGAATGTTTTTAAATAAAGATACTACACGAGAGAGAGAGAGAG